TAAGAGCCATGTTATGGGCTTCTAAAGCAGCCCAGGCCTTGGCCATGTTAATAGTTGTCATCCCCACATTAAAGGCTTTAACATCAAGAAAATGACCAAGATGATTCCTTGCAATACTGCAAATTGAGCAATTCCCTAAGTCGTTACGTGGAGCATCAAAATTTATCTTTATTTCTCCCTCTCTTGGTATTAAAGAGAATTTATCCTTATCTTTGATTCCTATTAAAATTCATTGAATCCTACTCTTCATTAGAATACCCTATTTGAATTTGATTCCTCTCTAATTGAGGACACTAAATGTATTTTAATATCCTCATTCATTTCCCTTTCATTAAGTTTTATATTTAGGGTATTAACTCTCATTCTTTCATTAAACCCTATATTAATTATCCATATTAAAGAAAAATAAGTATGAGAAAGAATAATTATTTTTATTGATGATATAAATAAAATACAAATGTAAAACAGATCGAAAAAATGAAATTGTTTCCATGTTTGGTAACAAGTCAACAATTCAACCTTTTAGGTCAAAAAGTGTCAACCATTGATATCATAGTTAAACTATAATAAAATTTAAAAAAGATGAAAGCACACAAAAGTATAAAAAATATAAAAAAATGTTAAAAGCATTTAGACACATCTCTAGTATCATACATTTATCATATTAAACAAAAAAAGTGTGACAAATAAGAATGATTTTTATAGATATATAAGTATAAAAAAATGTAGAAAATTTTGCAAATATAATATTTACTATAATCATCATCATAAAAAAATTGTCACATGCAAAAGCATGTGCACACTTACTAGTCTAGACAAATGGATCGAATTCCTGTCTACTGCTATATCCATTATTTCACACAAGGTTTTATGCAAATAAAATGAAGTAAGATGATGTCATCAGTGATGTCAACTATTTTATTTTTGACATTAAATGGTACATGTCACAAGGTTTATCTTTGCTTCTTTTGAGAGAGAGATACATAATTGTATCGAATATGAGTATGATAAAAACAAATTAATTACTTAAATATATCATGTGGTTTTACTAAATTAATAAGGGCCATTTACTAAAACACCCATAGTTTCATGAATTTACTAAAACCTATCCTATAGTTTGTGTTTTACTAAAACATCCCCTACAGCTTGTAATCAATTTACTTAACATGCCTTCCATTAAGGTAATGTTTGGTTTGAAGGAAAAGATAAGGACCGGAAGGGAAAGACAAAGAAACCTATACAAGGTTTGTAAAGGTTTCCTTACCTTTCTCTTCCTTTCCCTACCTTTTCCTTCAAACTAAACACTGCCTAAATGAAAGTGGAAAATGGCAGTTTTAACCCTAGCATCCATTTAAATAAATTTAATGAAAAGAAACTAAAAACAAAAATGTCATTTTCCCCTAGTAAAACATGGACAACCACTCTATTTTATTTTTTATTTTTCTATTTGGTCAATTTTGTTTTCTATACAAAAAAGTGTTAGGGGTACTTCTGGATTAAACAACCATGGATCCATACCCTTGAACATTTTCCACTCAATGTAGGGATATTTTTGTAATAAACAACCATGGGTCCATGCCCTTGAACATTTTCCACTCAGTTTAGGGGTACTTTTTGGAATAAATAACCATGTATCCATACCCTTAAACATTATCCACTTAGTTTAGATGATCATATTACTATTTTTAGATGGCAAAAAAAGTATTTCTTAATGAAAGATCAATTAATTAAGTACATTGAAAACTATGAGGGGTGTTTTAGTAATTAAAATGCAAACTATATATAGAAGGTTTAAGTAAATCTATGAAACTATAAAGGGTGTCCTAGTAAATGACCATTATATTTCGTGGTTTTATTAAGGGATTCTAGCTGATAAGGGCAACTTTTGGGCCTTAATATCAATAACAGTAATACTTTTAATAAAATTTCTAAAATATGTTAACTTTTTTAAAATTAATATCAAATAAGGGCACAAACACTACTCACCTTCTTCCTCTTGCAAACCATTCATCAGCGCCGCCGCCTCCAGCAACACGCCTACCTCTGCCCACCTTCGGCAACGTTTGATCAAATACGTTTTTGACTCTGTACTTAAAATCTTCTGCAATCATTTGTTGTAGAATTCAACTTCACCATTGGAGTGCACGACGTGGCCCAAGTGACAAAGGAAGCATTCAATTCCTGCAATAGCAGCAGCCGTATCGGCTTCGTTCAATCGACCAGCCCTATGAGAATCATCCTCAACTCCACAAGCGAGTACTTCTACATCTGCACCTTCATCCAGCACTGTGCATTTCGCCAAAAGTTAGCCATTAACGTCACTGCCGCTACGGCTCCGGCTCCCACCCCTTCCAGATCACTAGTAACTTATGTGGTCGGAGACAGTTTGGGTTGGCTTGTCCCTCTAGGTGGTTCTATTGCATACCTGGGCTTTTGGGAAGACCTTCATGATTGGGTTGACTTGTTCCACCACCACCGCCACTCTACCACCATTTAGCACCACCGCAACTCCACCATCCAACATAGCTTTTGACGAAGGCGGATGTGGCGGCGTTGGGCAGAGGTAGAGCCAGAGGTGGGCGGAGGCATTGTCGGAGGCGGCGATGCTAATGAATGGCTTGCAAGAGGAAGAAGATGAACAATATTTTTGCCCTTATTTGATATTATTTTTAAAAGTTAATATATTTAAAAAAAAGTATTAAAAATATTACTTTTATTGATATTAGGGCCCAAAAGTTGCCCCTCAGCTATAATCCCTTTTATTAATCATTGACGGTTTGTTTTCTCATTAAATTTATCCTTTCCTCTTAAATCTTTTTTTTTTTTTGAAGTGCCATCCTTTCCTTTTAAATCAGTTTTAACCCTTTTTCGCTCTCAATAATAAAGTATTGGTATAAGCTAGATGGATTAGGTTAGGCTAAGGACCAATTCAAGTGGCCAAGACCAACTCTAAATAATGGACCCTAACTTGTCATGATAGTTGGGGAGATTATGGGTATAGAGGATGGGCTACCCTGTGTAGCCCCATGAAGAGATAAAAGAAAAGGATAGTCCTTTAGCTAGAGCTTCTCTTGGGTCCAGTTGCCATAATTCATATATCCTTCTGGCATCATAGAAGTTACCAGTTAATTTGCTCGCAAGTTCTCTAGCTGGTTGGTTTAGAGACTTGGGAAGTAGGGATTGAATCCCAACTTCATGGTGATTGGGGTAGATTCTGATGCTGTTGTGGCCGAATAAAGTAATCTACCTAGAAAGTTAGAAAGTGGGGGATTTGTTGCTTAACCATGAGATCAAGGATCCAAATTTCGTTATGTATCGGTTTGTATTGTTCAATACGTATTGTATCAGAGAGTCTTCTTGATACACTCCTATAGGGGGTATTTCGGGTCAGTGAGTGGTTCAAGGCGTAGACCGGCCTTAAACTGGCCCCTCTGAATCAGTTTCGGAAAAAATAAAAAAAACATAAAAAACAGTACCGATATAGGTTGATACTTGATACGCCGGTATGGCCTGTTTTGATATTTTGAACCTTGAATGAGACACATTACAGTTCATCTAATTTGATATGGACATACCACCATGGCTGATCTAGTGGGTGTTTGGCATTGATGTTGTTTTTTGAGAAAATGGCACCATGTAGGCATTGCATTGGAGAAAGCAGTGCTTCAAATATTGCCTTCTTGTTTGGGACCATTTTTCTAGAAAAAAATGTTGCGTCAAATCATGCCTTAGAAATCGGGAATGTGTGGTCTGGAGCAACACCAGATTCAGTATTTTTTGAGAAAACGGTGAATTGCTGACAGTGGTACAATGATGTGGCATCATCTTGGGTGTTGGATAATATAAATCATGTTGAAAACATTGCTACCAACACTAATACCAAACAAATCAGTGCTGTTTTTTTTTTTTTTTTTTTTTTTTTTTTTCAGAAAAAACCTATGTGGCAGCACCGATTCCAAGCAAAAAATAATGTTTACAACTTCACATGCGCAACACTGTTTTTTGAGAAAAATGGTGCCATGTTCCCAGCAGGGATGCCAAATACCTACCTAATCTGATATGGGCACATCACCATCGTTGATTTAATTGAATATGACCACACCATATTTTGCACATTTTGCACCGATTATACCGGTGGAAACATCAAGAAAACTATTATTTGGGGTAGGGTTGTAAAGTGATATCAATATACCTTGATGAAGTTCTTCATATCATCGTCCATTTCTTCCTCCTTTTCACTATTATGCTTTGCTAATGCAGGTTTTCTTTCTAGTTTGAATTTAGGGTCTATTTGGTTCACAGTTGGAATCGGAATCAGAATTGGAATGGTTTATTCCCACAGTCTGTTTAGTTCAAACAGGAATGAGAATGTGAATTGGAATCAGAAGGAATGAAGCTTCATTCCCAAAGAAGGGGCAGAGAATGGTCATTCCCTCAAATGAGGAATGCCATTCCAGAAGGAATGGGAATGGGATTCTGATTCTGGCCATCCAAACAGTTGGAATTGGAATAATCCATTCCGATTCTGATTCTAGACCCCTATTCCCATGAACCAAACAGGACCTTAATTATTAATAATTTTTTTATTTGAGAAACATGACAAATCTCTATTGATTCATTTCTTAAGCTGCATTTGACATTCCTTATTTTAAGGATTTATCTCCTTTTTGCATTAAAAACTCAATGTTCATAGGGGCATTTTAACTGCAAAAAGAAAATGAAGTCCTTAAAATAAGGAATGCCAAATGCAGCCTTTTTTTTTGCAAGAAAATGAATTTCAATGTTGATTAAATCTTTAAAGCTAGGAAAAAGATTCTTCAATTCTTCAATCAGGCCAAGTAGAGAGCTTTCTATTCTATCCTCGAGTCGATATAAGCCATGTACTCCATCCACCTCTTATTAGTGTCTTATTCTGTGATAAAGATGTTCAATTTTATGTAGATTTGATCTGGATCCAACCAATTTGCATCTCTTCCTTTATAAAGGATTAAAGGATTGAAGTGGAGGTGTAAGCTGGCTGTGCTGTGTCAGAATGTAGGTCTTAGCGGGCTGTGTTTGTTCATCACAAATCCCCCACAGAGCCAGCCATAGCCCAAGGCCCGAACCCTAGTGGGCCCGTGCCGTGCTGGGCCAAGCTACAGGGGTTGGGGCCGGGCCTTTGACTGTCCGCTTTCTACGGTAAACGGGCCGTGCCGGCCGGCGGCCCTGACCCACTTAGGTTGAAACTTGGAAGTTAGGAAGGGTTCCGCTGCCCCCACTCTCTCAGTCTCTCTGAGTCTCCCTCCTCGGCTCCCTCTCTCTCTCTCTCTCTCTCTCGCTAGGAAGAAAACCCTGTACTGTTAATCGGTAAAAAGAACAGTTAGGTGAGGAGTCTTTGGACTTGATTATTATTCTCCCTTTTCTCTTTTTAAATTGTAAGCTTTATTTTAATGCTGTAACTTGTAAGCAATGCTTGTATACGTATCAGGTATCAGGCAGCTGCGACAATCATGTTCATATCTAAAGTCTCACAGCTTGGATGGATAGTTAAGGAGCTCAGAAGAGGTATGGTACTGTTATTCTTTATTTCTTCAATCTTTGTTCTTGTTTTCCCCTTTTTTGTTTTGAAAATTGAAAATTCGGTCAACTACTGATGCCAACATTTGCGGAATTATTACAAGCTTTCTGTCAATGAATGAACCCTTCTTCATTTTGACGCCAAATGAAGAGTCATCGATATGTTTTACGGTGAAAGATAAAAGACAATTCGTTTTATTAAACTAGAAAACTTGCAGAGTGGCATCCCCGACCGGAACGCCGTTCACATGGCAGAGAGGTGGTAGAGATGCCCTTACCTCTTCATTGTATTATGAAGTGATTCTATGCTAGTAAGCAAAACAAGCTTCCAATTTAGGTAGTGCAGACTGGATCGTCTTTTCAGCATTTGGGTTTAGCAACTATACATCCGATTCCAAATAGTACTTCGGATTAAGTTTGAGTTTGAGCTGAGTTGGACGTAATAACCATAGGCTTGCAAGAACACGGCATAGAAAGTGAGTTTACACTAAATTGTTTTTTGGAAAGTTTACGGGCAAATTAACTATAGGGTTGTAAGGACAAACATCTGATGAGTGAGGACATGTTTTTCAGGTTTCATGAAATACTTAATAGAGTGATTAGTCTCCTACGCAACTTGATCTTTTTTGTTAGGGTACAGCCTGCAGGGATTATGGGTTGCCAAAGGTAATTGAAGTCTATGTGAGGAGCCCTTCCCCACTGCTAGGTGTGTAAACGGATCGAATTCAAATCGGATCAGGCAATATCCGAATTTGAATCCGATTAGAAAATCTGATATCCGAATTCGATTTGATATCTGACGGATATTGAAAATTAGTATCCGAATTCGAATCCGATTAAATATTCGATTCAATTAATTAATTGTTTTAGATAATTAATAAATATATAAAATAAATATTTTATTGATATAAAGTATATAAATTATTTATATAACTTAATTATTATATATTATATAAAATATTCTATATAAGAATTAAATAATCGGTCGAATTTGGATATTTATCGAATCGAATCAGGTCATATCTGAATTCGAATCCGATTAACTATTCGGTAAGAATAGGATATCCGAATTCGACCGATTAGATATTTGAATTATCTGAATTTGATTCGATTATGTCGAATATCGAATTCGAAATCGGATTTTCAAATACCGTTGACACCCCTACCCACTGCCCGTCTTTTTTCCCCCTCTCCTCAACTTGGTTTCTTTTTTTCAAGACACCATTGGACTCCTTTAATATGACAGAGCGTCAGAGCCTGCCTTTCAGAAGACTTTTACATTCTTATGAACAATCAACTATACAATTAGACTGGTGTTAATATAATGGATGGCTTGGAGAATTTGTGGTGGAAAGAGATTCAGGATTAGGAGAATTTCTCCAAGAAAATTTAGTAAGAAACCAAGAATGCAATGCAGGGTTTTGCAGTTCACCCTTTGCATTTTCTGGCATTTGTTCTTATTGGTCTAACTCCGTTATTTCAAAAGGCTTTTAGGAATATCCAATGGTCTGCATGGTGCTAGGCAGAGTTAGGAAACGACAGATTTTATCAGAATAGATAAGCTAGCAAAAGATTATTAAGTTATGTTCTCAATCTTTTCATCTTTTTTACTGATAAAAAAAAAAAAACTTTTCACCTTTTGGACACATTTTCAATAATAGAGTGGATACGTGCTGATGGCATTCTTTATGACTCGACTATGGAGTGTCTCTGATTTACTTGTGATGTTTGGAGGCAAGTTTAATTCTTATGAGATCTGGCTGGCCTTTTGTGCATTCAAAGACATTAGAAGGAGCAACTATAGAAGGCTGAGAGAAGATGATAATTTGTTGGAAGGGAAGATCTTGAGAGTTGACTTGGTTTTTCTAGTGACTTTATAGCTGGAATTGCAGAAGTTGATTTGTTGGAAGGGCAGAAATAGTTTCAGGTCTGTTGTTCTAGGAAATAGAGTTTTATGGCTGAATTGGGAACCCATGGTTGAGTCTAGATGCCTTGCTTCATTATCAATTAGCCAGCAGATGATTAGTTAGAACTCTTCATTTAGGCTATACTTTCCATCACCATGAGGTTGAAGGAGAACATGTGGCTTCCCCAAAAGTTTCTTTTCTTTTTTTTGTTGCATAATAAGTAGCTTGTAGAACCTATACCTAGAGGGTGTTTTTGCCCTCAAATAATTTCCAAGTTAACTTTGGCAATAAATGCTTTATTAAAATTGCCCATACTTTTTGATGCCCAAGCATTGGTTTGGTGTTGACTCATAATTTTATATTACATTTTGTTTTACTTGTAAATGATAACTAAATAAGAAATGGTATACACCAAGGGAGGATTCAGAACCCAACTGAGCCCTCAAAAACCCATACCATGCATCAAACAACAAGCAGCAGTGGTAACAATATTTAGAGGCTCCAAACCCTCCACCCTCTATTCACCCCTCTCCATCATTGCTGTAGAGTCATCAATCATTCAAGTCACTGAAGCCTCACATGCCTCTGGTTGTTGCTCATCCATTTAACCACCATTCTTCAAACTTTCTCTGTCTGACAGAAATTAGGAGGAAGAGGGTGAGGACCAAGGCTTTCAGATGTTCTTTTGCAGGAGGGTCTGAACTTATTTTTGAGTCCTGAAGCTAAAATATCATGCCGTATTCTTTTGAAGGCCTTGTTCATTGTATCCATGGGAAGTGGGTGGTTATATGATTTTTTGTTTTATAAGATATGGTAATCTGGATTCTATTTGGGAAGATGTTTTCTAATAACATGTATTTATTGTGGCCTTGGAGAGAAAAGTCTCATATTTTTTAGGTTCCCATTCTTTTTTTTAATGTAATTATCATGGGCTTGCAATTATAGTGTTTTTAACCCATATTTCCAACGGCTTTGGAAGGATTTTATTTTATTTTATTTTTTGGATTAATGACTTAAAAAAGTTTTATTTGAACAAAAGGAGAAGAATGAAGAAAGAAGGTACATGTCATCTGCAAATAGGGATGTCAATGGGTTGGGTTTAGTACAGATTTGCCTCAACCTGAAAACAATCAAACTAAATAGAATAAAATTGCTGAACCCAACCAAACCCTATTGGGGGCCCTGGGCAAAAATGACTCTTAGTGAAGTGAAGGCTATAATTATATTTACAAGATTTCAATACAATTATGTTGCCTGTTATAAGAGTTTTGTGAATATTTCATTGTGAATATGTCACTTGTTCTGTACTCGTCAATATGATAAACAGATTCAGGTTTCATTTAAAGAAAAAACATAATTTCAAGTCATCTTCTAACAAGAGGGAGGGAGAGAGATTTATATCGAGTTACATAACATCACCAAATTATCTCTGTGACTCTTACTAAGTAAATCAACAACACCAGAATACCTAGAACAGTATGGAAAGGAAAGAAAAAACTATGATTTAGTGAGTTCAATAGATCAGGTTCAGCACTGATTGGGTGCAGGTTTACCCAACCTGAACCCAAATAAGACTGACCTGAACCCATCTGATAAGGTTGGATCAAGGAAGGCTTGCTTTTTAACCAAACCTGTTTACATCCCTATCTACAACCCAAGGAGGGGATAAGACCAAGTAAAAAGAAACTTGAAGCCAGCTCATCCATGTTGTTTGTGCTTTAGAAAGAAACTTAATGAATTTGCTACCAATGTGTAATGTAGACATTTTGACTTATTTGTTTTCTTTAACACCAAGGATTTTCTTTTGCCAGGTCAATACACATCTGTAACTAGAACAGCGTATTTGCAAGGACCATGCAGTCGTCATATGCAGCCTCTGGTTAGCTGTTCTTTTCTCCCTGATTGAATAGATATGTTTATTTTCATACAGATACCTTATCATCCTAGATTTTAGGGTGTAACTTGGGCTAGGTCAGACTGAGCAGTCTGAACCAAACCCAAAAGTCTAAAACAAAGGCTTGTTGGTCCTACTGGACTGATCCTACATCTAAGAATTGAGAGTTCTGTTTTTAAACAGTAAAAACAAAAAGAAGTGAAGAAATTCATTGGGTTGTGTTATGGGAAGCTAAGAAACTAGAGAAGATCATGAGGGATTTCCTGTGGCAACCAGGGGAGGTGAAGAAGGATCACATAATTAGATGGGAGATAGTGACCAAATCTAAGGAAGAAGGGGGCCTAGGGATAGGAAACTTAGTGCAAAAGAATGAAGCCTTCCTAGGAAAGTGGTTATGGAGATGGCTTCGGGAGAGATGCTTTGGCATAAGGTGGTGTCAAGTATTCATGGTATTATAAACCTAATCTGCACTAGAGCTCTATTAGAATTAGGGTTGAAGAAATAATAGAGAGGCTAGAAGAAGTAGAAGAAGAGAGGAGAATAGAGAAGAAGAAAATTCTGGTTCGAACTAGAGAACTAAAATACTCTTTAGTTAGCTAGATTGAATTTATATGTTTATCCATAATAACAGAAGACTACTTTGTCCCCACTTAAGTATGGAACGCATCATCTAACAGAAACATTACCCATCAGTAGCTCTAAACATAAATATAAAGACTAAAATACCCCTACACAGTTGACATTAACACTCCCCCTCAAGCTGGTGAGTATATATCATATAGTCCCAGCTTGTTACATATGTAGTCCGCTCTCCCCCGACTCAACCCTTTGGTGAACGGGTCTACCCATCGATTTCCTGTGTTAACATGTGCAGTATCTATCACTCCACTCAGCACCTTCTCTCTCACAAAGTGACAATCAACTTCTATATGCTTTGTTCTCTCATGAAACACCAAATTAGAAGAGATGTGGATTGCAGTTGGTTGTCACAATAAAGCTCCATTGGAGTGTCAATCAAATATCCCATCTCATGTAGAAGATTTCTCAGCCACACTAATTCACAAGTGGTATGTGCCATAGCTCTATATTCGGCTTTTACACTATTTCATGCCACTAACTACAAATGAAATATCTGGCCGGGTAATGGTTAGGTAGTTTAGTTTACCCACCAACCGCCTGTACCTTCCAGGATCTTCAAACTCTTCACCCATATCACTGCTCATCTTGGTATTTGATTCCATAGGTGTTTCAGCTGGTTTGACACCTAATAATCTTGTTTCTTCCAACAAATCAAGAACATATTTCTTTTGACACAAATTAATGCCATGTTTAGACCTTTCTACTTCTATTCCCAAGAAGTATTTTAGTTTACCAAGGTCCTTTGTTTGAAAGTATTCCTACAGAAAGATCTTCAACCTATCAATTCCCAATCTATCACTCCTGGTAATGACAATATCATCTACATATACCACCAATAAGATCTTTCCATCTTGCGAATCATGACTGAAGACTGAGTGGTCAACCTAACACTGTTTCATACCAAACTTCTTTACCACTTCATTGAACCTACCAAACCATGCACGAGGAGACTGTTTAAGTCCATAAATGGACTTCTTTAGTTTGCACACCTTACCATCCTCCCCCTAAGCAACAAACCCCAGTGGTTGCTCCATATAGACTTCCTCGAGTAGATCACCATGTAAGAAAGTATTTTTGATGTCAACCTAAAAGAGAGGCCAATCATACATAACAACTAGAGAGGAGATATCACAACACGAACTGAACCAATTTTAGTAACAGGAGAGAAGGTCTCCGTGTAGTCAATACCATATGTCTGGGAATACCCTTTGGCAACCAGTCTAGCTTTTAATTACTCTACACTACCATTAGGTAAATACTTAATAGTGCATATCCATCCACTTACAACTGACAACTTGCTTACTAAGAGGAAGTGTGGTGAGATCCCACATATGATTATGAGTTAAGGCAGAGAGTTCTTCTTCCATTGCATGGCACCACCCTGGAGAGGCAAGGGCTTCCTAGACATCCGTAGGAACAGAAATAGAAGATAACAAAGAGATAAATTGGCGATGGGAAGCAGAAAGATGAGTGACAAAAACATAATTAGAAATAGGATGAAGAGTGCAACTGAGTTTACCTCTCCGCAAGGCAATCGAAAGATCAAGATTAGAAACTGGGGTTATAGCTGGTGTGGGAACAATTGCCGATCTATCGATGGTGATGGAGATGGAGGAGGAGCCGGTACATGTTGTTGATGTGTATACACTTGACGAATAGGTGGCCGTTCAACAGGAAGTTGCACTGGAGGCAAAGACTTGGTCACAACCGGAACAAGTGGAATGGGGTCCTCAACTAGGATTGGAAGAGGAGGAGGTGGTGAGGAAGAAGAAACATCACCTAACCTCGAGAAAAACGGAGTGGACTCAAAGAAAGTAACATCAACACATACAAAGGAACATCATGAGCTAGGGTTATAACACTTATACCCTTTCTATGTCTAAGGATAGCCAAGGAAAATACACTTAATGGATCGTGCATCTAACTTGTTCCTTATCGGTCCAAGATTATGAGCAAGACAGACACACCCAAAAACCCAAGTAAGGGGAAATAGAGACAAGGTAGGAAACAAAGTGGTGAAGGGAGAATGACCTTCAAGGATGGGCGTGGGCATCCGGTTAATCAGAAAGCAAGATGTAAGCATATCACTCCAAAAAAGGTTTGGGTACATTCATATGGTGCATAAGGGATCAAGTAGTTTCCAAAAGGTGACGGTTCTTTCTCTCAACTACCCCATTTTGTTGTGGGGTGTAGGTACATGAAGTTTGATGGATAATGCCATGTTGTTCCAAATACTCCTGAAATGGTATATAAAAGTATTCACGGCCATTATTAGTATGGAGAATCTTAATGTGTACACAAAATTGGTTGTGAATTTTAGCACAAAATTTTATGGAAAATGGAAAACAATTCACTCCTTTCTTTCATTAGGTAAAGCCACGTCATCCTTGAATAATCATCAACAAAAATAACAAAGTATCTATAACCATTGTATGACATTATTTTATTTGGACCCTAAACATCTAAATGGACTAAAGAAAAAGGACTCGACATACGATTATCAACCCTAGGACTAAAGGGAACACAATGATGTTTCCCCAACTAAATGACTCACAATCCAAAACAGAAAGATGACTCAACGACGAAACAAGAGACTTCAAAACTTTAAGTGATGGATGACCAAATCTACAATTTCACTGAAGGGGAGAAAGAGATGTCTGAAGAGTTGTTGACGCACTGCCACCACCATCAAGATAATACAGTCCACTAGCTTCATGCCCTCCACCAATCTTCATTATCGTCTCGAGATCCTAAAAAACACAAGAAGAAGGGTAAAAAGTGATAGAGCAATTAAGGGACTTGGTTAACTTGCTAACAGACACAAGGTTAAAAGGAAAGTTGGGTACATACAAAATTGAAGATAAAGATAAAGGGTCTATGTTAACATTACCAACACCACAAACATTAGCAAGGGTAATAGAGTGTGATGTTGGGCACTGAGAAAGGGAGGAAAAAACAATTGGAGTTCTAGTCATGTGATCGGAGGCTCTAGAGTCAATAATCTAGGGGTTGGGTTTGGATGCCAAACAAGCCATACTTGAGTGTGCAAGAGTGACTGTATTCTGTTGAGATGTGGCCTGAACAAACCTCTCATACTCATCACATGGAACACTCATCATCTCCTTCATGGGAACATCTGTAGATATAGAGGGCATCTGATCAGTTGGATGACCCTCCTATCTAGAACTACTATCACTGGTCACCGCATGATTTGCCCAAGTTGAATGTGGGCCATGCAAATCATAACAACAATTGATGGTATGTCCTTCCATACCACAGTGCGTACATTTTCTTAGACCAGAAATACGTCCTCTACCACGAAATCCTCCTGAATCTTGACCTCCAATATGTCCACCACCACGACTATACATAAGTCCACCACCACCACTACGACCATACACCGGTCCACTGCTACCACTACGGCCAGATTGAGCTCTCCGAGCTCCACCTTTAACACCACGGCCTCCCCCTCTTGACACTGCAAAGGCTGACCTGTTAGAGATACTAGAATTCTCTGTAGGTTCAATAGAGATCCTCCGAAGACGAGCAAACACCTCTTCTAAAGATGGAAGAGCTGACCCTCCTAGTATCTGTGCCCTCACTGGTTCATATTCAGGTTTCAGTCCTACCAAATATTTGGTCACATGTAGTTGTTCTCTCTACTGTTGTTGAATTTTAACATCAGAGGTGAGGGGATGGTACACATTCAGCTCATTGTGAAGGTTTCTCATGCTAGCATAATACTCCTCAAGACTCTGATTACCCTGTTGTAGATTAAAGTATTCCTGATAAAGCTGATACACTCTAGTTGTGTTGTTTTGTCCCGAACACAGCTTCTTGGCATGGTCCCAAACCTCCTTGGCTGTATCAGGGAACATGAAATTCATATTGATCTTGGATTCCATACTATTTCATAACCAGGTTATAATCTGTGCATCTTCTTGTTCCCAATCACCATACTCATGAGACTCAGTAGAGGGTTTTTCTTCCTTTATATGCTTCACTTTCTTCTTAGCTTTAAGAAAGACCTCTAAAGATTTCGCCCAAGGCACATAGTTTTCCCCATTCAATTTGATAGAAGTCATCTGAACATTCAGGTAGTCGGTGGGAACCATCACACTAGTTTTGTTTTCACTGTTATCTCTCATATCTGATTTTTTTTTTCTTTCTAATTCACCTCTCACCACACTGCACACTACACCACACTACACTCAACACCACTTGTTGCGAATTCTTCACTTTCCACACCACAACCCTACTACACGACTACCTGAATTCTCACCACACTACTTGGAACTCACCAACCATTTGATCCATACTGAAATCTGCACAAAACCCACCTATCT